ATGGAGAGCATTATACCGGGGTGCAACCCTCAGATTTGACTGATGACGAGATGGATCAAATGTTCGAGGTCAACGGAAAACGGCTTCATTTGTCTAGGATGGTAGAATGGCAGTTCAACAACCTGGATGCTTCATTTGAAAAGATCGTAGGCACTAGCAAACGCACCGTTATGGTGTACTCAGACATTGTGGAATCCACTGTGGTGGGGAGTGGCAAGTATCCCCTGTTGCGGGAAGTGCAATTGTTGAGAACTGGGGAAGGAGAAAGTACGGCAGAACCCTTGCACCACCAATGGATCAAAGTGCGAGGCAACCAATTGGACATCGTCGAAGTGGAAATTGCTGATACCAGTGGCCCCCTGACAATTTTACCCCCCGGCAAAACCATAGTGACGATAGGTCTCAAACAGCTATAAAAACCACCACGCACCCTTAGATGAGTATCCTCATCATGAGTGAGATTAAACGCCTGACGCTCATCAGCGACCCGACCGACGAGTTTCCTAAAAATACTAACAACAGTTTCAAGGTCCGTCTGCCTGAACGCCTTAGCTTACCAGGCGAAGGCTGGCATGCCTCGTTGATGTCCATGACTGTCCCGGATAAAGGCCAAAGCAATGCCATCATCGCCGCGGATCCTCATACCAAAGTGATGAAATTCAAAATGAGCTATGTGATACGCAAGTGGGTGACGGGGGTGTACCGATTTGCTGAGGTGAAAACCGTGGACTGCGTGTTGGAATTGGAAGAGATCATGAATGCGAGTCAAATCGTGGCGACGGGGAGTCAGTTTTGGAAACGCGTGATGCAAGAAGTGCACAATAAAATCATGCACAATGTGATGAATGAACAAATGCGGTGGCTGATCTTGGAACCTGACCAAAGACCTATTGTCAGTGCCAAACAAAACACCATGCCCAAACTGACCTGGAAAAAGGGTGCCTTGGTGATTAAGGCCCTTTCCCAAAAGGATTTGCTTAAAGCGGACAAGAAAGCCATCACCGACCTTTTTATCAACCTGGACATTGCGCTCAAGTTTGGGTTGGTAGAGAAAAAGATTGTCAACAACGCTACAAAGTATTACCTAGGGCCCAATATGCAATATACTCTGCCGACGGCCACCTATGATTCGGACACTCTACCCAAAGGGAACTCCGATCGCACGCCCTACAACTGGGAAGGTGCGCAGTACATGGGCGTCAATCCCACCTTGCTGTTTGGCAATATTGTAGCCAGTATTGAACATGATCCCATGCAAGTGGTCACCCAGGATGGTGTGAAGTTTTTACAAATGTCCTTGCTAGTGGAATGGCAGTTGAACAACCTCGATGCCTCGTTTGAAAAGATCGTGGGGACTCGCAAACGTACCGTCATGGTCTATTCGGATCTCGTCGAATCCACTGTAGTGGGAAGTGGCAAGTTTCCCTTGCTGCGGGAAGTACAGTTATTGAGAACAGGTGATGGAGAAAGTACGGCGGAACCACTGCATCACCAGTGGATCAAAGTGCGAGGCAACCAATTGGACATCGTCGAAGTGGAAATTGCTGATACGAGTGGCCCCCTGACAATTTTACCCCCCGGCAAAACCATTGTGACGATAGGTCTCAAACAGCTATAAAAACCACCACGCACATCAGAGAGAAGACCATACAAAAACAGAACAGAGATGCGAGGAGGGAGTTTAACGCGCTACCACACACCGGTGGTGACAACTCAAGAAGGAAAAGGGTTGGCCGAAGACTTAATCAAACTAGCCGGTCCTCTCATCGTGCAACAAGCCCAAGCGGGACTCCAAGATATCCAACAAGGAATGAGTTTGGCCGACACCTTGTCGAATCGTGGAGAGCAAATTAAACGCGGCTTGAAACGCAAAGCTCCCGCCCTGGCCTGGACAGTGGGAAAAAAGCAAGCCAAACGAACCGCTCAAAATACCTATAAAAGAACGACTCAACGCGTACGGGATATTTTTGGATTGTGAATGATGGTACGCATTGGAGGATTTCGCAAAACGCAAAATCGCATTCGACTTCAGCGGCCCCGAGGCCGGTTCATTTCACCGTATCAAACGGGAGGGACTATCTTTGGTAAATCTACCACAGCGCGCTATCCCTTCATGTACTCATCATCCCCAGCACTAGAGCGTTGGATGAAGAAACACCTGCAGCAACGTGGCAAGATGAAAGGAGGTACTATTTTTGGCAAGTCCACCCGCATGCGAATGCAAAATCCCTTGAGATTCCCATCTATGTCCCAAGAGAATGATTTGATGATAGAACGCTGGTTGAAGCAACGTATGAAAGGGGGAACTATCTTTGGCAAGTCCACGCGAATGCGTATGCGTTATCCCTGGATGACCCCCTATGACTACCAGGTGGACCCCAATTGGCTGGCTCGGAACGCTATAAAAAGGAAACGTCGTTGAACGTCTTCACTCTCATTGTGCACTTGGGGCTGACCAAAAAAAAAAAACATGTCGCTCAATTTGTTTGATGTCCCGAATGTGGATTACCGGTACGAAGCCTCCAGGGACGTGACGTTTCAACCTGCCTTGACGGGAATACAACCCATCACGTTTTCCATCCCGGCCTCTGAAGATTATTATGATCTCAACGAACTCCGTTTTCAAGTCAAAGTACGTCTGACTGATCCTGCCGGTGGGTATCAAGGATTGAAAGGCAATGTGGCCAATTCCGATGCTAACAATACCAGAAACACCTACTGCGTCAACAATTTTGCCCACTCCATCTTTCGAGATATTACCATGAGCATGAATGGTGTCCTCATGACTGAACAGAGCAATACCTACCATTACAGATCCTACTTGGAAACCTTATTGAACTACAACAGAGAAGAAGGAGCCACCAAGTTAGCCCCTCAAGGCTGGGTGAATCAACTCAATGTGATTAAGGAAATGGGGGCCACAGGTGCCAATTCCGATACCCCTACCGGTGCTGATTGGAATGGAAATGTAGAATTGCGAGCCTTGACCAGCCGGTTGCTGAGCGAAAATTGGCACACCTTTATCATCCGTCCTCATTTACCACCCCTCAAGACGGGTAAATGTTTGGTGCCTGGTGTGCAGTTGGACTTTGAATTGTTCCTAAACCCCAACTCTGTGTACTTGATGGGTACCCCCAACAAAGGCACCTTGAACGACAAGAAATTTCCTGCCATCCATAATGATGACATCAAAGTCACCTTACTGATGCGAAAAGTGACCTTGAACGCGAGTGTCTATGTCAGACTGCAAAAAGAAAGACAACTGGGAAAAAAGATTGTGCGCTACCCAGTGGTTCGAAGTGAAATCCGCACCTTCTCCTTTGATGGAAGAACTACTCAGTGGGAACAAGACAATGTGTTTGTGGGTCGATTTCCCGATCGAGTGATAGTGGGATTGCTACATTCTAATGCCTTCAATGGTGACCTAGAAAGATACCCCTTTGCCTTTGAAAAGTTTGGGGTCACCCAAGTGCGACAGAGTTTGAATGGAGAAGAATATCCTTACAGAACCCTAGAACTAACAGGAAATCAAGCCTATGAAGATCTACTGGGCTACGATCGCTTTCTACAAGCCATGGGTTCCTACAATGAAGACAAGATCCCCATGCTGTTGCCCAGTGATTGGGGACAGGAGAAGAACTGCACATTGTTTATGTTCAACAATGTGGCAAGTGGCAAAGCCGACGACCCTCAGTATCGCAACCCTCGTCAATCGGGGAATGTGCGACTGGTGATTGATTTCAGGGCCGCTGTTAATCACAACATCACTGTGTTGGTGTGGAGCGAGTATGAAAACATGTACGAGATTAATCATCTGGGAGGTATAAAGTACAACATCAACGGTTGAACCATCCTCAGAAGAAAGCAGCCATGGAGTTTGTGGCGCTCAGCGATACTGTGTTGCGAGCGTTGGCCTTAGATGATCCTGAATTACGACGCGTTTTTGAAGGTGTGTACCCAGCCGATAAACTACCCCCATCACCTCCCCAAACGGTCCGCGCGGCCTACATCGTCAACACGGATCCAGCGGGTGAACCGGGACAACATTGGTTGGGCATGTGGACAGAACAAAACAAGTGCGAAATCTTTGACAGTTATGGTCTACCCTTGCACGTGTACAAAAATGCAGAGTTGCACAAGTGGTGGAGTCAATGGAAGTACCTAACCCGCAGTGACATTACCCTGCAAGCCATGGATAGTCAGACCTGTGGTCATTATGCATTATTTTTTCTTAAAGCCAGAGCGCAAGGACAGACCTACAAGGACTTTTTGGGAAGTTGGAGTACCGATAATTTAGTGTTGAATGATCATAAAGTAGCTCAAGACTTGAAACGAGTGATTAAACGTGAATTACAAGATGAAGTGGATGCCCGACCAGATGGGCAAAGTAATTTGAGCCGCCAGGCCTTTCTGCTTTGTAATAAATTGTAATAAAAAACGTGATTTACTTGTCAAATATGTGTAGTGTCTTATCAATATGATAAAAAAGACAAGTGCAGCAACAAGAGGTGTCATTTTTTTCATCATGATTACACGCGGCGATGTGCAGCGCATTATCGATGCGTTCATTTTGAAAGAAACTCTTTATTGGTGGTTGCATCCCATCGAACGTGTCCAAACCGTCCGAGGCAATGATGCTTGGGATGGCTATCATTGGACATTAGCCAGACAATTGGCTCAAGATAGAGAATGGATGTCTCTTAAAGCGTACATGGACACCATGGGTGAATCGTATTTAAGGGAATGTATGCAACACCTCATTCAGTCAGCGTCTCCTCGATTATACCGCGAGTATTGGACGGTATGCCGAGAAGAAGAAAAAGAAAACCCTTAAGAACCTCCCAACGATGGCGAATTCCTCAAAATGGGCGCGGGATCATTGGTGTATTGACCAAAGCGGCCAAAATCGGTTATAAATTGGGACGTGATAAACGGTATAAACGAATGGGAGCCAAAGGTGCCACGGGTCATTACAGACGTCTACCTCGTCCGTGGGAAGGATGATACGACAACCAAGTAGCGTGATTATTGCCGGACCCTCGGGCAGTGGCAAGAGCGACTTGGTGGAACAATGGTTGCGGTACCTGAACGTGTTTCAAGTGAAACCCAAAACCATGGTGTATGCGTATGACCGATGGCAACCCAGATTCGAGCGTATCCAAAAAGAGGATGGCATTCGATTTCATCGCGGGTTACCGGACCCTAGTCATTTGACAAAATGGTTTGGCCCCACGCGAGGGGGTGTGTTGGTCTTGGATGATCTAATGGAAGAAGGGGGACAAGACAAACGCGTGTTGGACTTGTTTACCAAAGATTCCCATCATCGCAACATTACAGTGCTGTATTTGACGCAAGATTTATTTCCACCCGGTAAATTCTCCAAGACAATTAATCGCAATGTGCATTACATTGTGACCTTCAAAAACCCACGAGATCAAACGGGCATACGAACCATTTTACTTCAAGCCTTTCCCGACCGTTGGCGTCAAGTCTTGCGACTATTTAATCGTGTCACATCACGCCCTTTTGGTTATTTGATGTTGGATGTGCATCCTGCCTCGGATGATCGTTACCGTTTGTGGAGTCATTTAACACCCAGAGAAGGTAAAGCGCAAGTCCATACGTTGCCCTCGGATGTCCCTACCGTTCGAAAACGCACTGCAACGAGAACGCGAACGTCAACGTCGGCAAAGAGAAGGAGGACAACACACTGAATTATCAACCCGTCTGAATACCTCGACCCTGTCTCCGACAAACGTGGATTTACCGTCAGCACCACCACCTTGCAAAAGCGTAAAAAGAAAATAGTCCTTTCACCTAATGTGAGGTTCGACGAACAGTTAGCAACGCGCCGAGCCTTGAGACTATAAAAACGAGACACGTCGTGAAAAAGGTTCATCAGATGTTGTACAACCCATCATGCCACCCAAACGCAGACGACAACGACGAAAGCAACGAGGGGGTATTCTCCCGTTCCTCATTCCCGCTGCCATCGCTCTCGGCAAAGCGGCAGCGCTAGGAGCTGTTAGTGGCGGTGCGAGCTACGGTGCCAAAAAAGCTATCGACGCGGCTACGCGCAAGAAAAAAAAACTCAGTCCAGCCCAATTAGCGGCCAATAAACGACACGTTGAGCGTGCGTTAAAACGCACAGGATGGGCTTTCTAAACTCCATGCACGTTATAAAAAGAAATGAAAGGGGTTGACAAAGAGCTAGCAATGCGCCGAGCCTTGAGACTATAAAAACGAGACACATAGTGAAAAAAGGTTCATCAGATGTTGTACAACCCATCATGCCACCCAAACGAAGACGACGGCGACGAAAGCAACGAGGAGGTATTCTCCCGTTCCTCATTCCCGCTGCCATCGCTCTCGGTAAGGCGGCAGCGCTAGGAGCCGTTAGTGGCGGCGCCAGCTACGGTGCGAAAAAGGCTATCGACGCGGCCACGCGCAAGAAAAAAGTGGGCAAGATCAGTGCAGCGCAATGGGCAGCCAATAAACGAGACGTTCAGCGCATGTTAACTCGAACGGGTTTGCCTGGGTTAGCTTCACTACGAATGCTAAAGTAAAAAAACTATAAAAGAGACATTGTTAGTTCCCCAGAAAACGATGCCGGCATCATGGATTGCAACGTGGAAGAGTGCTACACATGTTGGCGATGGCTCTCTCGCCTTGCGAGGTCAAGAAACGCACATGGGCGCGTAAAGGTTAGAAGTGATGCAGTGCTCAGAAGAAGAAAAAAAGGTTCTAACGATTATTTTTTACAGTGCGACAAAAATTTTGAAGACCAGTTGTGTCAACAGTGTTGCGACCACATGCAACAATATTATCATGGCGAACTGTGTGGAGCACTTTTTACCATAAATAGACCTTCGGTGGATGGCCCAAAGCAACAATCACACGATGGATTGGCGCATGGAACGTCAAGCTCCGTTTCTGAAGAGTGTGTTGCGAGAAGCGGACAATAATAAACGACAAGAATTGTTACGGATGGCCAATGCGGATCAGATTAATGCCATCAGTGAGTTGGTCATGAACACGATCCGCGGAACCGTGCCCCGTTCTCGACACACCATCACTTTGCTGAAACCTCATGCTCAGAGTTTAAGAGCCATGGCCAAACCGACTCATTCGGTCAAACGTCGACGCTATCATCATGATGTCTCAAAAAAGGCGGGACTCTCTGGTCCGAACTCTACCGATGCTATAAACGTACCATGCGTTAGACATTGTACCTCATTTACACCATGGAGCAAGAGATGGTGAGCACCTCTGTGGACAATGCTCCGGCTTTTTTACAATTACGAGACAAGTACAAACAAGAGTTGGTCGAAGATACTCGATTGACCAAAGCGGCAGATTTAGCGGCCAAACAACATGTGCTCTTGGCCAGTGATGTGCCCGATGCGTGGAAACGACCTCAACTCAAAGCCGTGGGTCATCAATTACGCCATTGGACCAAAAAAGTACGCCAACCGTTTGGTGCCCCTGTCAGTGGGGTAAGTGCTACAGGCACCCCTGCGACTGAAACGGGCGAAGATGAGTTTGATGCTGGCCCAGTGCAAGCTTGGTTGACGCAACTAGTCAAGGCTAGCCAGGGTATAAAACAAAGTGCTTCTCCTGCAGGACCCTCCAGACCCGGTAGAAAACCACGCGTACCACCCAAACCCATTATTTATTTTTTATTTATTTATTATTTTCCCACAATAAAGATTACACAAGCATTACATTATACAAAGATGTGGCGAGGGGACCTCAGAAAACCACAAGGCTTGTACGAGGAGGCCCCCTCGTTACAATAATATTAAGCAATAGAACTATAACAACACACAACAACGGACAGTACAAGACGCATTATCGATATAGTAGAAAATCAAAAACTTTCGTTTTAAACGATTGCAATGTAAAAATCGAAGTGACTGAGTTTGGTAAAGAATTCCAAATTTTAGGGCCTTGGAACAAAATAGAAAATTGTTTGGTGTTAGTTCGGCAGGCATGAGAACGGAAATGCGAGGAACTTCTAGTATTATAATTATGAATATTGCTACTAGTAACAAAAAGGTTCGAAAAAAGCGGTGGCAGTAATTGATGATAATATGAAAACATAAATTGTGCAGTATAGAATGAATTAATGTTGTATATGTCCAAAATCTTTAAACGAAAAAATAATGGTTCAGAGTGCGCGCGAAAATCTGCATTTGTAATAATTCGTACTGCTCGCTTTTGTAGAAGAAAAATTCTATTAAGGTTTGTTACATAAGTGGAGGACCAAACTGTGGTACAATATGTTAAATAAGGATAAATTAAGGTATAATAAAGAGACTTTTTTGTTGTTTCAGAAAGAAAGAAACGAGACCTAAACATGACGCCAATAGATTTTGAAATTTTCTTACATATATAAGTAATATGCGGCTTCCACGTTAGATGCTCGTCGATAAAAACCCCTAAAAATTTAACTACCTTTACTTGTTTTAATAAAACCTCATCGTACAAGACAGGGTTTATTGGGAGGCCGACTGGTTTTTGCCTTGCTGCAAAAATGATATAATTAGTTTTCGTTATGTTAACAGAGAGCTTATTTGCTTTCATAAAAAGATCAATTTGAGATAAATCATTATTTACGGCAGAAATAGCACAATTTAAATCGGGATTAGAATAAAACACACTAGTATCATCTGCAAAAAGCATAGTTTCAGCAAGACGAGTAGCACAAGGGAGGTCATTGATATACAAAACAAACAATAATGGTCCTAATATAGAACCTTGAGGGACTCCACAGCTCAGAGTCAGCCTAATAGAACAAGTCTCTTTGTACTGGACGAACTGCACACGATTTGACAAATAGCTTTTCAACCAGCTAAGTGCTAGCCCATGAATCCCATAATGCTCAAGCTTAGACAAGAGTATTTGATGGTCTAAAGTATCAAATGCTTTTGATAAGTCTAAGAATATGCCAACTGTATATTCGCTTCTGTCAATAGCAGTAGCAATTTTATTAATAAGATGAATTAAAGACAGCGCTGTAGAATATTTTTTACGAAATCCAAATTGGCAACAGTATAAGATATCTAAACGATCTAAAAAATTTGTAATACGATTGTGCATAACTCTTTCAAAGAATTTAGAAAAATTAGAAAGAAGCGAAATTGGACGGTAGTTAGTGAAATACTGGGAATCACCAGCTTTAAATACCGAATCAGTTTAGCAATTTTCAGTTCATCAGGAAATACTCCTTTAATAAGAGACAAATTGATTACATTGGCCAAAGGCTGAGAAATGAGATCAAAGGTGCTTTTTATTATATCCATTGAAACGTTATCATATCCAGGCGACTTTCCAGATTTAAAAGAGTTGCATATTTGATTTAGTTCCGAAATATTAGTTGGATTTAAGATAAGCGACTCATTAACAGAAACGCCAAGAAAACTACGAAAAGATACTTGTGTGTCTGGAATTTTCCTTGCTAAATTCGGACCTATGTTGGTGAAGAACTTACAAAAGCAGTTAGCTATTTCTTGTGGATCATTTAGCAGTTTTCCATCAGAGAAAAAGGAATTTGGCAGAGCTGCTTTTCTGCTCGGTTTGTTGATTACATCATTGATTAGTTTCAAGTTTCTTTCAGGTTATTTTTAGCCTTCTCAAATTTTGTATCATAGTACTTTCGTTTAGCAATTTTTATAAGATGATTCAGTTTGTTCCGATAGCGTTTGTATTTTAACTCAGTAGTTGAGTCCCTAGAATTAATGAACTGCTTATAGAGTTTATCTTTTTCCTGATAGAAACAAGCAGAGATTGCGTTATCCAAGGGGGGGCGCATTTTCTTTTTGTTTTAAGTTTTATCGTTTTTAATGGAAAGCTTTCATTGTATAATCGAACATACTCACTCACAAAACTATTATAACATTCATTAGTATCGCTTTCATCGAAACGTAAATTCCAATTAACACGAGAAAGAGAGAGCCGAAAATTGCTCTTATTTCTTTCTGAAAAATCTCTTTTAGTGAGATATTTAGTTTGGCTATTTTTCGACGCTATTTCTGTCTCATCCACTTCATAAACAAAAACCGGTAGATGGTCAGAAATATCATTAATAACAATACCATTGAAATGTTTACACCTTACATTATTCGTGAATATATTATCAATAAGTGTGGCCGAATGAGCAGTGATCCGAGTCGGTCTATTGATTAGAGGAATGAACATATGGGAAAATAGACTATCAACAAATTCTTGAGTAAGGGCATGATCGGAATAGTGAAACAGATCTATATTATAGTCTCCACCCAAATAACAATATTTGTCATTTCTAGTTATTTTAGCAAGAATCTCATTAAATTTTTCCAGAAAGTCCCGAATGTTATAATTAGGCGGACGATAAACAGTACCAACTATAATATTTTTCCCATTGGGAATGTTAATTTCAACAAAAAGAGTTTCGATCACTTCAGGTTCAGAATAATTACAATCGCGGCATAATTTGTATTCTAAATCGTCAAGTAAATAAAGACCTGCTCCACCGGCGGACTTGCTATCGCGGTGGTTCGAAATAAATTTATATCCAGGTATTTCCACCTGGTCCGACGTAAGCTCAGTTAGCCAGGTTTCCAATACGCATATGGCAGAAAATGGATTTTGCAAATGACTAAGCAGGAATTTAAATTTATCTAAATGACCGATTAGGCTTCGTGTATTAATATGAAATACAGAGAAGCAAGGAGAATTTGAACTATTAGTTAGCTTAGCATTAATTTCATCCTCAGTATAATAATTACTAGGAGGAGGAGAAAAAGTAAACTGTTGATCTGGATCTAACTCATTAAAGAAAAACTGATTAGAGACAGACAGAAACTCAAGTTCACGACCCCTACGACCCCGTTGAGCAGCGAGGAGTTGGCGAAAGAGTTGCCCTTTTCAGAGGACGTAGGCCAGAAACCTTGGGACACCCCCTCCTTAGCTATCAAGCGCAAAATCAGACAGAAAGCCAAAGAGGCAGCCAAAAAGAAAGCCGCCGGTCTGGCCAAGAAAGCCTTGGAGTGGAAAACGTGGAAAACTCCATGATGAGACGGACCAAGAGACGCCGTGCCGCAACTAAAACCCGCCAGCGACGACGACGTTCGCAACGCGGAGGCAAGTTATTTGATGTTCAAAAGTTATTGACCAAGACGGGCATAGAGTTTCATTGGCCCGGTTATCAGTATATGGGACCTGGGACTCATTTGGAGAAACGTTTAGCCCGCGGTGACCCAGGCATCAACAGGTTAGACAAGATTGCTAAAGCCCATGACATTGACTATGCTAGAGCCAAAAACTTGAAGGACAAATGGACGGCAGATCGGAAGATGATTGCCAAGATCGATAAACTGCCAGGTCAGAAAAGTCTGACGGAACATATTGTCAAAAATATCATGAAAGCTAAACTCAAGTTGGGCATGTAATCACGTTGTTGTTATGCTTATGAATAAAAGAGATTGTTTATACCAAATTCTACTCAGTGTGGTGTTGTAGTTTTATTCCTCTGACAAACACAATGTTTTTTTTTCATACAATCTCGATGCAATGCACTATTGCCTATTGCATTTTCATTTTACCAGTGCCTATACGCATCGAGTGATTAGTCGTGTATTAAAAAGCAAACGTCTCACTAAATGTTGACAAACGGATGAAGCTATTGGCCCGTATCATGTCAAGTCGCAAGGAAAACTACAAATACCAAGCTCTAGCAAGAAACGAAGCAAGATTCCGCCTAAAGGAGAATCTTCTTGAACAAATGCTATTGTCAGTGGATGATTTGGACGATTTTCACGAATCTTTCATGATCAAACTTGAACGTGACAATTTTAACAATATATTATCTCCATCCGATGTACAAGAAATCAAACAAGCCGTACAACGAAGAAAACAACAATGGAGACAACTGGAAAAAGTCTTTCATGATCACTTACAAACCATTCCACCCGAAAGCATGAATTACATTCCTTTTCAAGAGGTATATAATCATGTTCGATCCAGAAAAAAACGTCAGATCAACCAAGTGATTCAAAAATACAACGAAACTCATTTTCGAGAATTAATTGATCAATTGTGGACCAAAGCGTGGAGTCAAGTCCCGAAGGTGCAATAACCACCGCAAACAACAAAAAAGTTGCTGATGAGACAACGTGGAGGAACGGCATCATGGAAAGTATTGCAAGATGTTTGTCACTACCTTTACCTATAAGAAGATGTCGCAAATGCAAAGAATATAAAACAACTATGGCTAATCTACTTCAAATCATACAAGAACAAAACCAACAACTGCAAAACCTACAACGTCAACTGGATTTCACAAAGGCGCAATATCTCGAACAAAATCAACGATTATCTCGTACTCAAGAAAAATTCCTCTGCAATGCTTGTCTCGTTAAGTTCAAACAGCCCAACCAAGGTTTTGAACTTTGCTCATTGTGTTCTACAAGAGTACCAAACTGAACTCAGTCCTTACGATTGCGGCAGAAGAAATTGGGTAACTTGATAAACCTAAACAACCAAAGCAAGACGATTTGCAAAAGCACGACATGGAAATTGTATTAAATCAAAAAGTGATTTTTTATTGGCAATTACAGCGTGTTATTTTCTTGACTTCCGGTCACTTCCGGGGACCTGGGGAGGAGTTAGCGAACAGTCACGTGACTTGCTGACGTCAAAAGCAATCTCATAGGTTGCTTTCTTGACTTCCGGTGGCACTGTACGCGACAATCTCTCATGTTACTTTATGCGCATGCGTTGTTGGAAATTATCACAAAGAAGTACCACAAGGGTGAGGGTACCACATTCACTGCAAATATAAAGGTCAAGTCATCCCTTCTAGGTTATAAGACAATGCTCCTACCTAATGTTACTCCACGCGCATGCGCTGATTCAAATCACCCCAAAGCATTACCACAAGCCTAAGCCTACAACATGCAACACAAATATAAAGGTCATTTATTCCATTGTGCAATAGAGCACATTTCTTGACTTCCGCTCGCGCGGTCACTTCCGAGAGTCTGGGAAGTAGGTTGACTTCCGGTTGCGCGAGCATTTCCGATGGTCTGCGGAGTCACTTCCGGTTGTGAGGTCACTTCCGGTGGACTAGGCAGTGACTTCCGGGGAACGGGGAGTCACTTCCGGGAGTCTGGGGACTAGTTACAAAATACTGCGCTCTGATTGGTCGAAAAGAGGTCATGTGACCAAACTGTGATGTCATAGGGTTAGCGTATGACGTCATAGATTGAGTCACTTCTGCTAGCAGGCAATCACCCTTCAGCTGTCATGACGTCACAACAATCGCATCACTCACTGGGATTTTTCGTGACTCTTACATGAAGTACCATCTAATTTTAGTTAGTTTTATGATGTCATTGAAATGCTGGCTTCTGATTGGTCGAGAGCTGTCACGTGACCTAAATACTCGATTCTGATTGGCTCTGGGTTATATTAACCAGTATTACTACTCTCCCAGCAAGACTCAGAGACAAGAGGCAGGTGAACAGGACGTTGAAGACAAGACTCAAGACCCCAATCTGTAAAGTGCCAAACGTGCTGCAAACGCTGCACCATGGTGTAACCATTGTTTTAAATGTGAAATGAAAACCATTATGCTGTTGGTTGCCGTCAGGGTGAGTCTGCTGGACAAAAGCCATTAAACAAGAACCAGCTAGTTACGTCGGATCAGAAGTAGTCGAAACCCCACAAGTGTCCTACCAATGTAACTGTTGCGCCAAGGTAGAAACTCAAGTTCCGTTTCCACGCTCCTCCCAGTGCCAGGCGATATGGTACTGTTCTTGATCTTGTCTGAAGGAACTGTGGCCTGATCATATAATTATATGTCAAGCGATTCAAGAGCTATCACAAAGGGTATTTACCATACAGACAGCGTTTATAAGTCTCTTGACACCTACACAGCATGCAAAAGTTGTTAATCTTGTTGGAAGAAAATGTGCGGTTAACAGCCTCTTGAACGATAGTGAACTAACTGCTCTATGGGACTCTGGTGCTCAAGTATGAATTATGACAAAAGGGTTGTTGGAGGAAATACTCCCAAGGACAGCAATCAGAGGCATATCAGAATTGATCAATGTAGGACTTAACCTACATGGCGAACAATTCCTTACAGTCAGCAGTGAGCAATGCAGACGCGTATTTGGTCAGCAGTAAGCAATTCAGACGCATACTTCACTCAAATTCAATATGGGGGGGGGAGCACGAGGAAACGACCCTAGCAAGGCTATTTTCGACAGTTAGCCACTCTTACTAGTGATTTCCTGGAGCCAAGGAGGAAAAAAGGAAGATGAACAGTAGCGAAAAATTTTACGACGTAGAAAGAGTTATCACAAAACGGGATATTTGTGGAAAGGTACAATATAAAATTGTCTGTGAAGGAAGATATTAAACCTGTGGACAGGTTCTTTAGTACCTCTCTAAATAAAACTTCACAGGACTTGAGCTGTGAAAAATCTATGCTATTAGGTTTACAACTTTCTTTACTTATAGGAAGGATCACCTGATAGTTACAGTTTCTTTCAAATTTAGTACATTTACCCTTTTGCTTTCACTACAGCGAATACCTAATCAGGTGGTCTGGATACAGCTACCATGAGTGTACCGGGAATCCATATTTTTACAAAGTTTTTAAGAAAATGTGCCTGGGAGGACGAGGACAACTTAACTCCCGATCTTGTGCGGTAATTAATCAATGAGAGGCTGCATGTACTTGAAATCAAATACCACTTTACATCTTGGTATCATTGTGACTCCACCACATGATTACAGTCACATACACTGTACTTTCCTTGTTTTATGGCATTTGAGTGACCAAATATTCCAGATGGAAGGCTGCAGGAAAACATTGATTGGATGCTTGTAGCCATCCAAACTAAGCTAAAGAGTAAGGCAAGGGGCCCAACAACCGTTCATTTCCACCACGATTGTTACAGGTTCCTTTTTGGGTCACAGGCAGTGGTTTGCATTCCGCCCATAGCCAACGATACTGCGTATATTACATAGTGTTAACTCCCACGAGGATATTTTAGAGTATATAAGCGGCCACACAGTATTAAACACTATCAAGATAGAGCAGAAATGTACCAGGGTTTTTTTATTCTCTCTCCCTCGGAGTCTTCAGCGTTTCAGAAGTGTGTAATCAGAAAATTACAGTATACAGAATAAACCCGTTGTAAGTGCAAAAACTGGTACGTGATTCTCTTCCAACTGGATTCGACACATATCCAAATCAGTCAGAGTGAGTGGTGACGGAAAGTCTAAAACGCTAATGAAGGGTGACTTTGCTCCTTGCACATTCTTTGATCAATGGGACCAATGTCTAGACAGTAATGGTGATGGTGTACAGGTTAAGTTCCTTGTGAAACTGCACACAATTTCTTCATGGTCTCCAAAGATGTCAGTTTTTGGTGATTGTGGGTTGACGCAAGTACCACAGATGCCAAATGAGAAAATGATTTTTGACTTTGTGCAACCCTCCTCAATTCTCAATATTTGACTGTATTTCTTCTATGTGCTACATCATATTCTTTTAAATACTTGAGTTAACCCTTTCACTCCAAGACCAAGTTACGACAGGATCAGTTGTCAATAGCTTTTTAGACAATAAAAATAAAAAAATCACAAATTTACAAAATCCTGTGGTGTTAAAATTCAAACGAAACCTCTTTGGTAAAACTTTTGAATAACACTATTTATTTCTTAGGATTTTACCATAATAAATTTGGATTTTTGTGCGGCTTTTTATTTGGTCACTGTTGGGAGTGAAAGGGTCAAGAATTTGATATCATTACACTCAAAATAAGAAAACCGTGAACGCCAGAAAATATTTGTTATAGTGTTGTGGTTACTGGTTATGGTGTTGTGACCAATCAGACCTGGGATCACACACACAGTAAAGAACCACAAACCTTATTACTGTGTCATGTAAGGTGTAAAAGTGTAAATAATTATGTAAGTGCAGATTCCCAGGAGACTTTAAAGTTTCGAGCCAACAAAGCCAATGAAAAGAGATTTTAGATCAATGATGTGACCGTTCTTAGCCAATCAGGAGACAGTATTTTGCACGAGGTTAACACATGCACTCACTAGCGTTGTTGTGTTGTTAATTCAGTTCGCGTATTCTTTGGTTGTGACCGTTTTGGTCCAATTTTCCATTGAGAAGGTAAGCTGTTTCTTTGACATTTAGTGTTTATTTAACTGTGAATGATTGCATAGAGTCTGAGACTAAGAGTATTCAAAGGAGGTGACATTAATATTGATACAATACAAAAGTAGGTTGAGTTTGATCGTCCGGGTGAACGTAGTCCTGAATAGGACTGTTCTGGTTGACAGTGACTGACGTTTCGACGACCTGTGCGGTAGTCATCTTCAGAGTCCACTCTGAAGATGACTACTGCACACATCATCTACTCTGAATTACCCTGTCACAATTACCATATCACTAGTTTCAGCCATACGGAGCTTAAGTTTGCTAAACGATGCTCACGTTTATATTGTTTTCACCTTTCCTCTGAGCTTACACATTTTACAAAATAATTTTGGAGCGTGGAAAATTAGCTGTCCCAAACAATGCTTCCTCGTTGTTCGAGAGAATGGTTGTTGCTTTGTTACATCACAATTTATTGAGCATATGAAATAAATTTCAGTTAATCAACAACTGTTGTTTCTATTTTGAGCTATGAGCTTTGCTAAATTGTCCAACCTCTGTTCTCGAATGATCTCACGTGAGAGTCCCGAAACCAAACAATCAGAGCGAACTTTGGCATCTTGATAGGTGCCTGCTAACTTGATCGCTTTCTTTTGTTTCCACATGAGATAAGTAACAGTGTTCACTTTGCCACAAAATTTTCTGTTCCTGTTTGTTTCTTTCTCGTCCATCTTCTGGAAAGCAGTAAACTTCGCCAGAATCTACGCAGGTGCAGCCGCAGCCGCAGCCGCAGGGCTAGTTGAACTTGCATTCTGCATGGTGTTGTTAATGCATAAACTACACATGTCTCGAAAACATGCCTCCGACTCGCCGAGCAAGGAATGCTTCCACGCCAGACGATTCGCGGCCCTATGCCTTCAGATCTCGAACTTGGCAGGCTATACATAAAGGATTTGCGATCCCGGTGCAGCAGGCTAAACCTCACAACGACCGGAGGACGTGACGCCCTGATTAAACGAATTGAAGAGGCACGTACTAACATAGACAACCTTCCTGGCACTCCATCCCCTATTCAAGATGGCGGCGAGCACGTGGAAAATGAAAATGATCAAAATGCCCTCGAACTGCAATTTCGGCACCTTCAGCGCCAAGTCCAGGAGCTACTGGACAGGGAGTCGCCACAAGACGGGCTTTTATCAGCCACCCAGCTCACCCAAGTACAATCAATTGTTCAAGGGTCACTAAACGAGGCGATCGAGAAAGCCGCAGTTAGCGCCTTCATTGGCTCGTCTCCACCAGCTACTGCTCCACCGACGCAAGCAAGAGATTCCTCTGTGAATGATGCACTGCAAATATCTTTACCAGTGATAAGTGTAAGTCCAGAAAACTGTTCTACTAGAGACCCAGCAATGGATTCTGTGCACGAGCTGCCGGCCAAACTGGTCAAAGAAATCCTAACTGGTGAGTTCATAGAACTTTCTAAATTGCTTCCCAAGAACTTCAACGTCTTAAACCCATCCCAGGATGAGCCACTTACCCTTACTTTAGAAAATTCAGTTATTAAAATAAACAAGGCCAAAGCTACATACATATCTGACATAACAGAGTGGACGACGGCCTTTACTGCCTACATGGGAGTTCTTATCAGCAAGTTCCCACACCGTGCTTCAGAGCTACTAGAATATCTCTCTCTCACTAGATACGCTGCTAGATACCATAGGGGGTTAGGTTAGTGTGTATATGACATTAAGTTCCGGCAGAAGGCTGCACTAACAAGTCATTGAAATGGTCAACCATTGATAGTCAATTATGGCTCAAAACCTTTACGGTTGCCCCTTCGCTTGTAAAGGAGGACATTAGTGTTTTCCAGTCAGGACTCTCATCATCAAGTACCTCTAGAGGGAACGAAAACCGTACTTGTCACAACTTCAACAGGGGGATTTCCTGTGCCAGAACCCCTTGCATCTACGCCCACATATGTAACCGGTATGGCTGCGGAAAGGATCATCCCGAGATCAAATGCCCCAATTTCTATCGAACAGATAAGGAGCCCTCCCCAAGGGTGGGAAGGTCAAAGCCCCAGCACCAGAGCACCCGCCACTGAGAAAAGTAGCTTTGGTGGAGTGGTTACTCCTGTCAATGTAGTTACCTTGTACCAGGCCTTAGCCAATCATCCTGAAAGGGAAATTGTCAACAAACGATGTTCAGAGCTGAGGGAGGGGGCTAGGATTGGTTATTCTGGTCCTAGATGCCCACGTTTTTCACCTAACTTACCTACTGCATATTTCAATCCTGAGGTGGTTACAGGGAATTTAACTGATGAGGTTTCAAAAGGGCGTACCATGGGCCCTTTTCTCACACCCCCCTTTGAAAAATTTCAGGTTTCACCGATTGGACTTGTCCCCAAAAAACATTCCGACAAATTCCAAACAATATTTCATTTATCCTTCCCAAAGTCTGGGACCTCTAGCATCAATTATTTTATTGAAAAGGATGATTTCTCTCTGCAATATATTACTATTGACAATGCCATTGCAGCAATTCAGAAATTTGGCCCAGGCTGCTACATCGGCAAAACAGACATTGAATCTGCTTTTCGGCTCATTCCGGTCCATGCGAATGACTGGGCACTCATGGGGATGTTTTGGAATGGGCAGTATTATTTTGGCAAAGTGCTCCCATTTGGGCTTCGCTCTGCCCCGTACATTTTTAATCAGCTGTCAGATGCCATTAAGTGGATTTTACTTAACAGATGTTCCATCTCCTTTGTTTGCCACATTTATAGTGGAGCCACCCTGTCATACCCCTCCATTAAATTCCCTGTCAGGCAAGCCTGTCAAGTATGATCTTGACCTTCAAAAATTTGAATATCCCTATCTCTGCAACCAAAACCAAGGAGCCTTCCCAAATTATTCAGTTCATGGGTATCATACTAGACTTGGGAAAATGGAGGCAAGGCTACCCGAGGATAAGGTGGAGAGGATCAAATCTGCCCTCTCCACTTTCCAATCTCAGCGGTCAACAACACTGCAAGAACTTCAATCACTGATAGGTACTCTCAATTTTGCTTGCAAGGTAATTCCCCCAGGGCGATCCTTCCTACAACGAATAATTCACCTTACCAGAAAGGTTAAAAAACCCCACCATCATATAAAGCTTACCACGGGCTTTTACAAAGATATTGAAATGTGGACTATTCCTTTCTCCTCTATGGGGAACCTCTGACACCCTCTCCTTGTTTACCGATGCCTCCGGCTCTCTGGGTTATGAGGGAATTTTCCAAAAAAGGTGGTTTCAGGGAAAGTGGCTGCCATGTCAACAACTAGGCCAGCGAGGCATCAGCATTCTTTGGCAAGAACTATATGCAATTAATGTTGTATGCCATTTGTGGGGGATCCATTGGACATCCAAGCGCATCCACTTTGATTGTGACAATCAGGGTGTAGTCGAGGTCATCAATTCCCGTAGATCCAAAGTTCCCCGGGTAATGGACTTGGTAAGGGACCTTACACTTTGCACCCTGCAGCATAATTTTTATTTTCGAGCAGTGCATAACAACATTGCGGACTCTCTGTCGTTTCCAGATGGAATGCTTCCACCAGCTAGCACCCCAAGCCAATGCAACACCCGACCCCATCCCAGCCTATTTGTACAAGCTCTAGCAAAGGAAGCTGAGCGTTATCTGGGGATGTCCCTTGCCCCGAGCACCAAAAAGACATATGGTTCTGGTATGCGGCAATTTTTCACTTTCTGTTCACAAATGTACGTCAATCCGCAACTCCCCATTAGCGATGATATTTTAATCAATTTCTCAGTCGCAATGGCTCGTTCTGTGCAATACACCACAATCAAGAACTATTTGTCGGCAGTCAAAAATTACCATTCCAGCCACGGCTATGAGCTTCACTTATCTAATTTCCTTCGTCTCCGGCTTATTCTTCGTGGCATGAAGCATTCACAGGGGCACCAGTCCAAAGAACGCAGACCAATAACTTAACAACTGTTGAACGTATTTTACCACCTCCTCAATGTGCAGCGTACCGACAATAGGGATTCATTAATGTTCTGGGCAGCAATGACATTTGCATTTTTTGGCTTCCTGCGAATAGGTGAACTCACCCTCAATTCATCTTTTGATCCAAAGCTCCATCTCATGAACAGAGACATAACTTTTATGCCAAGGAATTCACCCCAGTGAAAGTTAGTGCACTTAAAGGTGTCCAAAACAGACCCTTTTAGACAGGGACAAACCATCGTCACAGGAAAGACAAATTCACCCTTGTTCCCCATCTCCGCAATGGTGGCGTACCTGAACTCCAGGCCCTTGTCTTCAGCCTCTGGACCCCTTTTCACCCATGTATCTGGTGGGCTCTTAACCAGGGAGAAACTAATAAGGGAAACAAGGCTCCTAATTACCAGGGGGGGGTCTGGACTCAAGGGAATTTGCTGGGCATAGTTTCCGGATAGGTGCAGCTACGACAGCTGCCTCAGCAAACTTACCCCCATGGCTCATTAAGGTTCTGGGTCGTTGGTCATCTGACTGCTTTGAGAGGTACCTAAAAACTCCACCCTCTGTTCTGGCACAGGTCCCCCAAAAGCTCGTTCGCCTATTATAAGTTTGTCAGCCTGTTATTCAAAGTGACATAAATGCCTTTTATTTTGCGAGGTTTGAACCTTCACATGTCACCCATAGCTCTGACAAAACGTACTCTCTCGTATGGACCCATCTCGTAAATATATTCAGACACTGTGTAAATTTCCTCAATCCTCCCAAGATGAAAGGCATTGTATTCTTTTTACATGAGATGCAGACTATTATACCTGCATATTATTATTCCTGGATTAACTAGATTTTCCCTGTGGCTCGTCAATGGGGGAATGCTTTGCATTCTGTGGGGATGAAGTGCTCCTCTCGTCACACTCTTGCCCCCATAGACTCCATTTTCGGAGGCCAACTCCCTCCAATTATACCCCCCTGGAGATAGGTTAGTGGAGGCCCACTCCCTGCAGTCACAGAGGAGGCCCAACCCCCTCCTCTTTACCCAGGAATGTTCACAGTGGCCCTGGGAGAAGGCCAACTCCCTTCTCTTCATCCACTGTGTACATCCCCTTGGGCTGTAGGTTTTGTTTTCTTGACACTCCAGGGGTCCATGGGGCTAAAATATTAACTGAGCACTTTGTCACCCACTTCCCCATTTTCAGCCACACAAAGTTGTTGTTGTCCTTATTCCAAAGGAAAAACAAGGGACGGTTGATTAAACAAAGGAAAACAGTGAAGGAGTCATAACACTGAAAGGCCAGTATGGCCATCACAAAGCAACAAAAAAGGAGAAAGGCGTGACCAATGTGCGAGTCATTTCCTCGGCTTTCACAAAAGGAGTTACTTTTCCTTTTGCTGTTGTCCAGGTATGAAGGTTTTAATCTGTGCGTTTGTTGAACGACTCGAATCTTGTTAAGACAATCCACAATTCAGCGATTAAACACAAAGCATACCATATATATCTTCACACTCACCCAGAATAGTCCAGTTTCGAATTTAAAATTACCACTGAATACAAACATTAACGGCACATTTATACAGGGTTAGCCTCGACGTAAAGTAAAATATTCAGAAATTCCGGCAAGTAAGTGTTTGAAATTTCAATATACACAATAGACAGAGTAATAAACAGGTCTTTTTCTCGTTAGAATTTGTGAATATATTACTTCAGATGGAGGCTAACCCTGTAAAAAATGCGTCTTCAATTCTTTAATTCAGCGGTCATAGCGAACTCGAAACTGGACTATTTCAGCCAGACTGTTTTCCCAGTGGAGGTCTTTGATATCAGTTAAAAGCGGATTATCTCCAGAATCCAGACAAATGTTGTAGAATTCTTCACTGAAAGGAATGTGAAGTTGAAGTTGATCCATGAGAATTTAGAGCATGATGTAGCGAATCAGTGCTGGGTAACAAGCTATCCTAAGCTGTTGGACCCATCCACCCTTCCAAACAATTATCACGCAGCCTTAGCTACTCTTAGGAAGACAGAGCAAACTCTCAGCAAAGATAAACAGTGGGGGGAGACATACCAAAGACAGAGATATGGAGGATATGCTGGATAGCAGTGTTGCTAGAAAGCTCTCTGAGGAGGAGATGCAGAAATGGTTTGGTCCCTTATTCTACATCTCTCATCCGGCTGTGGTCAGCCCAAAGTGAAGGACCGCTTTGTAGGTGAAACAGTTCGATCGATCTTTGATTTAATGGCATTCTCTCTAAAAGAAAATATTCCAGGTTTAATGACATTTATAGATTTCCAAAAAGCATTTGACACCTTAGAATGGAACTTTGTTTTCAGCTGTTTAGAGGCCTTTGGTTTTGGTCCGGAATTTATTTGGTGGGTAAGAACACTGTACGACAATATTGACAGTTGTGTTATCAACAATGGTCTCGCAACTTTACTTAAATTTTATTGAGAGATTGGACAGTGTCAAAAACCTTATAAACATTTGGTCTTCCAGAGGTCTTTTATCCATTGAAAAGTAACAATCATCAAGTCTTTCCTCATACCAAAATTTGTTTACATTTCCTCGCTTCTGCCGGTCCCACAGGAAATCGATAATGAGTTAAATAAAATGATATTTAAATTTTTGTGGAAAAGAACCGATAAAGTGACAAGACTTTCCGCAATTAACGAATAAGAAAACGGTGGTTTAAAAACGATCGATCTGGAAAGTATGATTAAATCTTTACGACTAGCCTGGCTGAAAAGGATCTTCCAGTGCAACAATGGTGCTTGGAGAAGCTTTTTACGGTTTTCATTGGAACCTTTTGGGGGCCTCTTTTATTTCACTGTAATTATGACATTAAAGAGATACATATTTCCTCTACATTATATTCTGAGTTACTTCAATGGTGGTCTGAGTTTCGAAGCGTTTTCGACAGCAGAAGGGAATGTCAATATATTTTGTGGAATAACAAAGAGATACACGTTGATAGCCTGTTTTCTATATATATATATAAAACTTTTTGAACAAGATATCGTTTTCATAAATGATCTTTTGTTTGAATTAGACATCACAAATTCTCTCACTGTTGTTTCGAATAAAATTAGCAAGATTAACTACCTAATTTGGGCAGGGCTTCGTCATCCTGTTCCAACACATTTAAAGAAAAGCAATTGTCTTCGCTCAGAAATAAGCTTAATATTAAAGGGGCTATGTCAGCTGGAGAGCATGCACTCTGAGGTTATGCAAATTACTTTCAACTGTCAAAATTCTATTGTTTTTAACGCGTGACTTTCTAAATGTTCTCTGTCACGTCCATGGCTCCGAATTTAGAGAGGTTAACAAGCGAAATGGGTTTAGATAAGGGATATTTCGATAGAATTTACGGAACGTTTTTTCTCTGGTTATGCTAGATCAAGAATAAAATTGTGACCACAATTTTACTTGTAGTTTTGGAGTAAAAACGCATGCCATTCATAAAATAGTGCGCAAACAAAAATTCAACAACATATTGTCTTATTCAACAAAATAAATCGAAGTTGTATTTTACAAACGAGCCACAAAAGACTCTAGACCGAAGATAAAGACCAAGACTGTTTCAAATCATTAACAATTAGACTTGTCTGTCGCTAGTGATTTTATAATTTAGATGCTGATAGAACAAGAGACATCAAGTCTTTGTTTTGAACTGAGGGAAACATACATTATCGCGCAAAATTGTTCGATCGTGCCGAATCACTGCGACGTCGAGAAAAATAGAACCAAGCATCATTGGTATACTACTCCACTATAAGCAGTCCGTTGATAAAAAGGGAAAGTAAACTCTGCTATTTTCCAAAAATATGCTCGAACACAAACAGTTCAAAAACATGGCATTTACAGGATCTAACCCGTACTAAAGTGCCTCTCTAAGTCCGTTGAGAACAATCTGGACGAGCAAACGGTCGTGTTTATCTTTGCCGTGAATCCAGATAAATACAAGAAGGAATCTAACCGAATTTTATGTTTCCTTCGCCAGGTGTTTAGTTTGGTCACGAAACTCATGGCCTGATGCTCTTGTAATCGTTTACCAAAAACGGCCGCCGCCAACTGGATAGCCGCTTCATTATATGTCCACATACTTTGAGCAGAAGAAAAATCCAAGAGCCAGCAACCTCTAAAATAACTCAATAGAAATGTTCTGTGAACTATAGGGAAGATTCCATCAAAGATTCCATCACTCATTGTGGAGTAGCCGTCATTAACTCTGCCATTACAACGGCCGCTGATAAGAGGACACAGTAAATCCACGTAAAAACATTCCACAGGCAAACAATTTCAAAATAACGCCAAAAAATTATTCTGTAATCACCATAGAACGATTCTTAATACAAAGCTTCGCTAACTACCGAACGATGGCTGAGATTTAGACAGATAAAAACAGCCTTCCAAAATCTCCGACAGAACTTGAAAAAGACGGGCCAACTTTTTCAAGTTTGTTTTCATTGGCTCGCGCATGCGTGTCGGGTGACATAGCCCCTTTAAATCATCACCAGACTTGAAGTTACTGGGAGTAACATTAGATGATGAACTTAGTTTTAGTACTCATATAAGTGATATATGCAAAAAGGCAAGTAAGAAAGTTGGTGTTCTAGTACGTCTTAGAAGTATGATTCCCAGAGAAGCCAAGTTACAATTGTACAAATCGGCAATTTTACCTAACTTAACATATTGTCACATAGTGTGGCATTTTTGCAAAGCATCTGATGCTTGTCCTGCTGTTTGTCTGTAATAATTTTATATATTGTTATTTTTAAATATTAATGATATTTTAATGGTATATTTTTGATATTTTTACGTATACTGCTGCTGTTTGTCTGTAATAATTTTATATATTAATGATATTTTTATATATTAATAATATTTAAATGATGTATTTTTAATATTTTTACGTATACTTGATTTAATCTTCCATTATATTCATTTTATTTATTTATAGTGCCCACAATTAGCTTTTAGCTAAATACCTTGACA